ATTAGTAATAGATTTACAGTAAATAAAACAGTCCCATAACAACTTATTTTTACAAAGTAAAACATAAAAGAGAATGGTATCAACCCCCAAGGTGTTCGGTCAAATGATTTGCTACTGATAAACAGGCATAACACAAACTCATCATTACACTATTGTCTTTCTAAATGAAATCAACCTCTTCACCCTCCTTATCGTTCAGTTCGGCCTAATTTAAATTACATTTTGAAGTAAGGTGCACAATTATCGCCCATTCATCCATTTGTCATTCAGTGAGGAGAGAGAGGCGGGTTAACGCCTGTCTGGGTACCAACGTCCTACAGCACGTTATCTTGGCGGGTTGAGTTAGGTGTGAAATAAAAACAGGTAAAAGGGCTCTAAATACTTTTCTGTTAAAATAAAATTCTGACAAATGAGCAAAAATACAAAAATTTAGGAAAAGTCAGGGAAGGAGCAGGACATAGCTTATTTAATTTTTATTTAATTTAAAATTTGCATAATCAAATGTCAGTGGCCGTTAGCCTATGGCGGTTCTAGTGTTAACAGGTGCATGATTGTCAACAATTGGCAATAATACATTTACAAATACCCCAGTGCTGTATCTGGATTCTCCTCCTTATACACATCAGAACAACATACTGTACAAGTTTTACATCTTCAACATTTTGACTGATCTCTTATAAATAACTTCAGGCCCTGCCTTTGGTCATTTGGCTTTCCTTGTTATTGCCAGTGTAACTGTTCATTCTATAATGACCCTTGTTATTGCCAGTGTAACTGTTCATTCTATAATGACCCATGTTATTGCCAGTGTAACTGTTCATTCTATAATGACCCTTGTTATTGCCAGTGTAACTGTTCATTCTATAATGACCCTTGTTATTGCCAGTGTAACTGTTCATTCTATAATGACTCTTGTTATTGCCAGTGTAACTGTTCATTCTATAATGACCCTTGTTATTGCCAGTGTAACTGTTCATTCTATAATGACCCTTGTTATTGCCAGTGTAACTGTTCATTCTATAATGACCCATGTTATTGCCAGTGTAACTGTTCATTCTATAATGACCCTTGTTATTGCCAGTGTAACTGTTCATTCTATAATGACTCTTGTTATTGCCAGTGTAACTGTTCATTCTATAATGACTCTTGTTATTGCCAGTGTAACTGTTCATTCTATAATGACCCTTGTTATTGCCAGTGTAACTGTTCATTCTATAATGACTCTTGTTATTGCCAGGTAACTGTTCATTCTATAATGACCCTGTTATTGCCAGTGTAACTGTCATTCTATAATGACCCTTGTTATTGCCAGTTGTAACTGTTCATTCTATAATGACCCTTGTTATTGCCAGTGTAACTGTTCATTCTATAATGACCCTTGTTATTGCCAGTGTAACTGTTCATTCTATAATGACCATGTTTATTGCCAGTGTAACTGTTCATTCTATAATGACCCATGTTATTGCCAGTGTAACTGTTCATTCTATAATGACCCTTGTTATTGCCAGTGTAACTGTCATTCTATAATGACCCATGTTATTGCCAGTGTAACTGTTCATTCTATAATGACCCTTGTTATTGCCAGTGTAACTGTTCATTCTATAATGACCCATGTTATTGCCAGTGTAACTGTTCATTCTATAATGACCCTTGTTATGCCAGTGTAACTGTTCATTCTATAATGACCCTTGTTATTGCCAGTGTAACTGTTCATTCTATAATGACCCTTGTTATTGCCAGTGTAACTGTTCATTCTATAATGACCCTTGTTATTGCCAGTGTAACTGTTCATTCTATAATGACCCATGTTATTGCCAGTGTAACTGTTCATTCTATAATGACCCATGTTATTGCCAGTGTAACTGTTGTATAATGACCCTTGTTATTGCCAGTGTAACTGTTCATTCTATAATGACCCATGTTATTGCCAGTGTAACTGTTGTATAATGACCCTTGTTATTGCCAGTGTAACTGTTCATTCTATAATGACCCATGTTATTGCCAGTGTAACTGTTCATTCTATAATGACCCATGCTTGTTATATAATGTATATTGTGTCACTGTAGGTATGCCATCCAGTATTGTACCCCAAACGGGAGTGTTTCTGCACCCCAGGGGTCAGGAACGTTCACCTGTAATACGCTAGCTAGGTACGCTCATCTATAATACCATGTACACTACGTATACGCCCATGCCAATGTACACTGTCGTCACTATACTATGCACCCGTACACTACGCTACACTGTACTATGCTAATACACGCTAACACGCACATGTGTATGCACATACCTACACTCTACGTACACTAGCACACTGTACTATCTACACTACGCTCACTACGCTAGCTCGTACACTCTGCTAACGTACGCTACACTAGCACATACGCTAGCACAGTACCTATGTACACTACCACAACCTACACGAATAGTACTATGCTCGCACCACAAGCAGGTCGCACACAGCTACACACGCTACACTACTGTAGTACGCTACCTAGTAGCTACGCTACACTACTACCTACGCTACACTACACTATGCTACACTACGCTAGACTACTACACTACACTACGCTACACTACGCTACGCTACGCTAGCTACGCTACCACTAGCTACACAACTACACACGTAACTATGCTACTATACTAGCTACATACGTAGCTATGTCACTACAATCGCAGTCACCGTTACACTGTTGACTAACACAGTACAGTTCATACCATATAACCTGTATGACTAACTCAGTACAGTTCAGACATATAACGTACGCTAACTACACTAGCTACAGTCAGCACATTAACACTAGACTAACTACGTACATTAACCATTATAACCTAATACTAACTCAGTACAATCACACTTATAACACTATGCTAACTACATACGTCAGACTAAACGTATGACTACACTCATACAGTCAACATTATAACCTGTATGACAAACTAGTACAGTAGACATATAGTATGTTCACTCATACAGTTCAGGCCATTATAACCTGTATGACTAACTCAGTACAGTTCAGACCATTATAACCTGTATGACTAACTCAGTACAGTTCAGACCATTATAACCTGTATGACTAACTCAGTACAGTTCAGGCCATTATAACCTGTATGACTAACTCAGTACAGTTCAGCCATTATAACCTGTATGACTAACTCAGTACAGTTCAGACCATTATAACCTGTATGACTAACTCAGTACAGTTCAGACCATTATAACCTGTATGACTAACTCAGTACAGTTCAGACCATTATAACCTGTATGACTAACTCAGTACAGTTCAGACCTTATAACCTGTATGACTAACTCAGTACAGTTCAGACCATTATAACCTGTATGACTAACTCAGTACAGTTCAGACCATTATAACCTGTATGACTAACTCAGTACAGTTCAGACCATTATAACCTGTATGACTAACTCAGTACAGTCAGACCATTATAACCTGTATGACTAACTCAGTACAGTTCAGGCCATTATAACCTGTATGACTAACTCAGTACAGTTCAGGCCATTATAACCTGTATGACTAACTCAGTACAGTTCAGACCATTATAACCTGTATGACTAACTCAGTACAGTTCAGACCATTATAACCTGTATGACTAACTCAGTACAGTTCAGACCATTATAACCTGTATGACTAACTCAGTACAGTTCAGGCCATTATAACCTGTATGACTAACTCAGTACAGTTCAGGCCATTATACCTGTATGACTAACTCAGTACAGTTCAGGCCATTATACAAACCTGTATGACTAACTCAGTACAGTTCAGACCATTATAACCTGTATGACTAACTCAGTAGTTCCCATATAACCTTATGACTACCAGTTCAGACCATTATAACCTGTATGACTAACTCAGTACAGTTCAGGCCATTATAACCTGTATGACTAACTCAGTACAGTTCAGGCCATTATAACATGTATGACTAACTCAGTACAGTTCAGACCATTATAACCTGTATGACTAACTCAGTACAGTTCAGGCCATTATAACCTGTATGACTAACTCAGTACAGTTCAGGCCATTATAACCTGTATGACTAACTCAGTACAGTTCAGACCATTATAACCTGTATGACTAACTCAGTACAGTTCAGGCCATTATAACCTGTATGACTAACTCAGTACAGTTCAGGACATTATAACCTGTATGACTAACTCAGTACAGTTCAGACCATTATAACCTGTATGACTAACTCAGTACAGTTCAGACCATTATAACCTGTATGACTAACTAGTACAGTTCAGACCATTATAACCTGTATGACTAACTCAGTACAGTTCAGACCATTATAACCTGTATGACTAACTCAGTACAGTTCAGACCATTATAACCTGTATGACTAACTCAGTACAGTTCAGACCATTATAACCTGTATGACTAACTCAGTACAGTTCAGACCATTATAACCTGTATGACTAACTCAGTACAGTTCAGACCATTATAACCTGTATGACTAACTCAGTATAGTTCAGACCATTATAACCTGTATGACTAACTCAGTACAGTTCAGGCCATTATAACCTGTATGACTAACTCAGTACAGTTCAGACCATTATAACCTGTATGACTAACTCAGTACAGTTCAGACCATTATAACCTGTATGACTAACTCAGTACAGTTCAGACCATTATAACCTGTATGACTAACTCAGTACAGTTCAGGCCATTATAACCTGTATGACTAACTCAGTACAGTTCTAACTCTTCTTCTTCTCTTTTATTCCCCTTCATCCCCTTTACCTCAGGTGCGAAGTGGAGAACCGTTACCAAGGCAACCTTTCCTGAAGGAAACTGTTACGTTGGAACCAATCTGCCTGTAAGTGACATCGCGTGAGCAGTTTCAGAGTGTCATGAACCGAGTCTTCAGTAGTAGAACATCGCGCTGATGGGAGTCCTTCAGAGTTAGAACATCAACTGAGCGAGTCCTTCAGGTAGAACATCGCGCTGATGCGGAGTCCTCAAGTAACATCGCTGAGGGGGAGTCCTTTAGATTAGACACATCACCTGAGGGGAGTCTAGAGTAGAACCTAAATCACGCTGAGCGAGTCCTTCAAGTAAGAACACGCCTGAGGAGTCCTTCAGAGTAGAACATCGCGCTGAGGGGAGTCCTTCAGAGTAGAACATCGCGCTGAGGGGGAGTCCTTCAGAGTAGAACATCGCGCTGAGGGGGAGTCCTTCAGAGTAGAACATCACGCTGAGGCGGAGTCCTTCAGAGTAGAACATCGCGCTGAGGGGGAGTCCTTCAGAGTAGAACATCACACTGAGGCGGAGTCCTTCAGAGTAGAACATCGCACTGAGGCGGAGTCCTTCAGAGTAGAACATCATACTGAGGCGGAGTCCTTCAGAGTAGAACATCACACTGAGGCGGAGTCCTTCAGAGTAGAACATCGCACTGAGGCGGAGTCCTTCAGAGTAGAACATCGCACTGAGGGGGAGTCCTTCAGAGTAGAACATCACACTGAGGCAGAGTCCCTCAGAGTAGAACATCGCACTGAGGCGGAGTCCTTCAGAGTAGAACATCACACTGAGGCGGAGTCCCTCAGAGTAGAACATCGCACTGAGGCGGAGTCCTTCAGAGTAGAACATCACACTGAGGCGGAGTCCTTCAGAGTAGAACATCGCGCTGAGGCGGAGTCCTTCAGAGTAGAACATCGCGCTGAGGCGGAGTCCTTCAGAGTAGAACATCGCACTGAGGGGGAGTCCTTCAGAGTAGAACATCACACTGAGGCAGAGTCCCTCAGAGTAGAACATCGCACTGAGGCGGAGTCCTTCAGAGTAGAACATCACACTGAGGCGGAGTCCCTCAGAGTAGAACATCGCACTGTGGCGGAGTCCTTCAGAGTAGAACATCACACTGAGGCGGAGTCCTTCAGAGTAGAACATCGCGCTGAGGCGGAGTCCTTCAGAGTAGAACATCGCGCTGAGGCGGAGTCCTTCAGAGTAGAACATCGCGCTGAGGCGGAGTCCTTCAGAGTAGAACTTCACACTGAGGCGGAGTCCTTCAGAGTAGAACATCGCACTGAGGGGGAGTCCTTCAGAGTAGAACATCACACTGAGGCAGAGTCCTTCAGAGTAGAACATCTTTCTCTCTCCTCTTTCCCCTCATATTTCTCCCTAGAGGGAGGATGTAGATCAATTGAATAGCTGGTTTTGTGGGTTTGTGATTGTTTGTGAAATCAGGATCACTGTTCTTTAACTCGCTGTCATAGGGATCCTTCTCTCAGGGACAGGACAAGTTCAGTTTTCACCACATAATTAAATATAGTTATATACCTATATACTATACATTATTTGGGTTGTGTCCCAAATAGTAACCCTGTTCCGTATTTTGTGCACTACTTTAGACCAGGTACCATAGTGCACTACTTTAGACCAGGTACCATAGTGCACTACTTTAGACCAAAGCCTTGTGGGCCCTGGGGTGCCATTTGGGATGCAGATTTGTATCACTATGGTGTTAATGAGACTCTTAACCAAGTCCACGAGACTCTTAACCAAGTCCATGAGACTCTTAACCAAGTCCATGAGGCTCTTAACCAAGTCCATGAGGCTCTTAACCAAGTCCATGAGACTCTTAACCAAGTCCATGAGACTCTTAACCAAGTCCATGAGACTCTTAACCAAGTCCATAAGGCTCTTAACCAAGTCCATGAGACTCTTAACCAAGTCCATGAGACTCTTAACCAAGTCCATGAGACTCTTAACCAAGTCCATAAGGCTCTTAACCAAGTCCATGAGACTCTTAACCAAGTCCACGAGACTCTTAACCAAGTCCATGAGACTCTTAACCAAGTCCACGAGACTCTTAACCAAGTCCATGAGACTCTTAACCAAGTCCATAAGGCTCTTAACCAAGTCCATGAGACTCTTAACCAAGTCCATGAGACTCTTAACCAAGTCCATGAGACTCTTAACCAAGTCCATAAGGCTCTTAACCAAGTCCATGAGACTCTTAACCAAGTCCACGAGACTCTTAACCAAGTCCACGAGACTCTTAACCAAGTCCACGAGACTCTTAACCAAGTCCACGAGACTCTTAACCAAGTCCACGAGACTCTTAACCAAGTCCACGAGACTCTTAACCAAGTCCACGAGACTCTTAACCAAGTCCATGAGGCTCTTAACCAAGTCCATGAGACTCTTAACCAAGTCCACGAGGCTCTTAACCAAGTCCATGAGACTCTTAACCAAGTCCATGAGGCTCTTAACCAAGTCCACGAGACTCTTAACCAAGTCCACGAGGCTCTTAACCAAGTCCATTAGACTCTTAACCAAGTCCATGAGACTCTTAACCAAGTGAGCAGCAAACATATTATGTTGTTATAACTGAACTACGCCACATTTCAACCTCCTATTCATTATCTCCTGCACCAAACCAGTGCCTTTGGAAAGTATTCAGACCCCTTGACTTTTTCCACATTACGTTACATTACAGCCTTATTCTAAAATTGAGTAAATTGTTTTTTTCCCCTCATCAATCTACACACAATAACCCATAATGATGAAGCATAAACAGATTTTTAGAGTTTTTTGCCTGAAAATTAAACCTGAAATATCACATTTACATAAGTATTTCCGACCCTTTACTCAGTACTTTTGTTGAAGCACCTTTGGCAGCGATTACAGCCTTGAGTCTTCTTGGGTATGATGCTACAAGCTTGGCACACCTGTATTTGGGGAGTTCCTCCCATTCTTCTCTGCAGATCCTCTCAAGCTCTGTCAGGTTGGATGGGGAGCGTCGCTGCACAGCTATTTTCAGGTCTCTCCAGAGATGTTAGATCAGGTTCAAGTCTGGGCTCTGGCTGGGCCACTCAAGGACATTCAGAGACTTGTCCCGAAGCCACTCCTGCGTCGTCTTGGCTGTGTTCTTAGGGTCATTGTCCTGTTGGAAGGTAAACCTTCACCCCAGTCTGAGGTCCTGAGCGCTCTGGAGCAGGTTTTCATCAAGGATCTCTCTGTACTTTGTTCCGTTCATGTTTGCCTCGATCCTGACTAGTCTCCCTGCCGCTGAAGAACATCCCCACAGCATGATGCTGCCACCACCATGCTTCACCGTAGGGATGGTGCCAGGTTTCCTCCAGACGTGATGCTTGGCATTCAGGCCAAAGAGTCCAATCTTGGTTTCTTCAGACCAGAGAATCTTGTTTCTCATGGTCTGAGAGTCTTTAGGTGCCTTTTGACAAACCCCAAGCGGGCTGTCATGTGCCTTTTACTGAGGAGTGGCTTCCGTCTGGCCCCTCTACCATAAAGGCCTGATTGGTGGAGTGCTGCAGAGATGGTTGTCCTTCTGGAAGGTTCTCCCATCTCCACAAAGGAACTCTAGAGCTCTGTTAGTGACCATTGGGTTCTTGGTCACCTCCCTGACCAAGGCCCTTCTCCCCCGATTGCTCAGTTTGGCCGGGCGGCCAGCTCTAGGAAGAGTCTTGCTGGTTCTAAACTTCTTCCATTTAAGAATGATGGAGGCGACTGTGTTTTTGGGGCCTTCAATGCTGCAGAAATGTTTTGGTACCCTTCCCCAGATCTGTGCCTTGACACAATCCTTTCTCGGAGCTCTACGGACAATTCCTTCAACCTCATGGCTTGATTTTTGCTCTGACATGCACTTTCAACTGTGGGATCTTATATAGACAGGTGTGCCTTTCCAAATCATGTCCAATCAATTGAATTTACCACAGGTGGACTCCAAGATGATCAATGGAAACAGGATGCACCTGAGCTCAATTTTGAGTCTCATAGCAAAGGGTTTGAATACTTATGTAAATGGAAAGGGAATCTGAAGTCTGAATATGTAAATAAGGTATTGCTGTTTTTATTATATTTTTATAAATTAGCAACATTTCTAAAAACCTGTTTTTGCTTTCTCATTATGGGGTATTGTGTGTAAATTGCTAAGGATTTGTATTTATTTAATCCATTTTAGAATATGGCTGTAACGTAAAAAAAGGTGGAAAAGGTGTAGGGGTCTGAATACTTTCCGAAGGCACTGTATGTGAAAACAGCACGTTTCTATGATCTGTGGCTAAAAAGATGTGAAGAAATGTCCTAAAAAATGCTTAGGATTAAAAGTATGAAAAATGGTGATTTTCAAAACCTGCAACGAGTTTCTAGCCAGAGGGATTTTTATAGCTCCTCAAGTCACCGCGAATCTCAGTGTTTGTTGTGTAAAACATTTATATTGTTTTTCTACAAAACTACAAATTAGTGGATTATCCAGCCACCCGTTGCTGACAGGTGTATAACATTGAGCACACAGCCATGCAATCTCCATAGACAAACATTGGCAGTAGAATGGCCTTACTGAAGAGCTCAGTGACTTTCAACGTGGCACCGTCATAGGATGCCACCTTTCCAACAAGTCATTTCGTCAAATTTCTGCCCTGCTAGAGCTGCCCCGGTCAACTCTAAGTGCTGTTATTGGGAAGTGGAAATGTCTAGGAGCAAAAACGGCTCAGCCGTGAAGTGGTAGGCCACACAAGCGCACAGAATGGGAGTACTGAAGCACGTAACGCATAAAAATGGTCTGTCCTCGGTTGCAACACTCACTACTGAGTTCCAAACTGCCTCTGGAAGCAATGTCAGCACAATAACTGTTCGTCGGGATCTTCATGAAATGGGTTTCCATGGCCGAGCAGCCGCACACAAGCCTAAGATCACCATGTGCAATGCCAAGCGTCGGCTGGAGTGGTGTAAAGCTTGCCACCATTGGACTCTGGAGCAGTGGAAACGTGTTCTCTGGAGTGATGAATGACATTCTAGACGATTCTGTGCTTCCAACTTTGTGGCAACAGTTTGGGGAAGGCCCTTTCCTGTTTCAGCATGACAATGCCCACGTGCACAAACCATACAGAAATGGTTTGTCGAGATCGGTGTGGAAGAGCTTGAGAGCCCTGACCTCAACCCCATCGAACACCTTTGGGATGAATTGGAACACAGACTGCGAGCCAGGCCTAATCGCCAAACATCAGTGCCCGACCTCACTAATGCTCTTGTGGCTGAATGGAAGCAAGTCCCCGCAGCAATGTTCCAACATCTAGTGAAAAGCCTTCCCAGAAGAGTGGAGGCTGTTATAGCAGCAAAGGGGGGACCAACGCCATATTAATGCCCATGATTTTGGAATGAGATGTTGGACGAGCAGGTGTCCACATACTTCTGGTCATGTAGTGGATGTAGACACTGGTTTGGTTTGTAGATGATGAATAGTGGGGGAGTTTCCCTTTCACAGCAATCATCCACAACCTTCAGTAAGTTGATGTTGAAACGGACATCCTGTAGCGCGTTGGGCCAGTAACGATTAGTGCTTTGGGCCAGTAACCCAAAGGTCACTGGTTCCAATCCCCGGGCCAACAATATTTTGATGTGTCCTTGAGCAAGGCACTTAACCCTAATTAATTAATTAACAGAGGCGTGAACCAACTACAGTGAGGGAAAAAAGTATTTGATCCCCTGCCGATTTTGTACGTTTGCCCACTGACAAAGACATGATCAGTCTATAATTTTAATGGTAGGTTTATTTGAACAGCGAGAGACAGAATAACAACAAAAAAATCCAGAAAAACGCATGTCAATAATATTATAAATTGATTTGCATTTTAATGAGGGAAATAAGTATCTGACCCCTCTGCAAAACATGACTTAGTACTTGGTGGCAAAACCCTTGTTGGCAATCACAGAGGTCAGACGTTTCTTGTAGTTGGCCACCAGGTTTGCACACATCTCAGGAGGGATTTTGTCCCACTCCACTTTGCAGATCTTCTCCAAGTCATTAAGGTTTCGAGGCTGACGTTTGGCAACTCGAACCTTCAGCTCCCTCCACAGATTTTCTATGGGATTAAGGTCTGGAGACTGGCTAGGCCACTCCAGGACCTTAATGTGCTTCTTCTTGAGCCACTCCTTTGTTGCCTTGGCCGTGTGTTTTGGGTCATTGTCATGCTGGAATACCCATCCACGACCCATTTTCAATGCTCTGGCTGAGGGAAGGAGGTTCTCACGCAAGATTTGACGGTACATGGCCCCGTCCATCGTCCCTTTGATGCGGTGAAGTTGTCCTGTCCCCTTAGCAGAAAAACACCCCCAAAGCATAATGTTTCCACCTCCATTTTTGACGGTGGGGATGGTGTTCTTGGGGTCATAGGCAGCATTCCACCTCCTCCAAACACGGCGAAACACGGCGAGTTGAGTTGATGCCAAAGAGCTCGATTTTGGTCTCATCTGACCACAACGCTTTCACCCAGTTCTCCTCTGAATCATTCAGATGTTCATTGGCAAACTTCAGACGGGCATGTATATGTGCTTTCTTGAGCAGGGGGACCTTGCGGGCGCTGCAGGATTTCAGTCCTTCATGGCGTAGTGTGTTACCAATTGTTTTCTTGGTGACTATGGTCCCAGCTGCTTTGAGATCATTGACAAGATCCTCCCCTGTAGTTCTGGGCTGATTCCTCAATCTGATTGATTGATTGCTTCTGTGGACAGGTCTTTTATACAGGTAACAAGCTGAGATTTGGAGCACTCCCTTTAAGAGTGTGCTCGTAATCTCAGCTCGTTACCTGTATAAAAGACACCTGGGAGCCAGAAATCTTTCTGATTGAGAAGGGGTCAAATATTTATTTCCATCATTTAAAATGCAAATCAATTTATAACATTTTTGACATGCGTTTTTCAGGATTTTGTTGTTATTCTGTCTCTCACTGTTCAAATAAACCTACCATTATAATTATAGAATGATCATTTATTTGTCAGTGGACAAACGTACAAAATCAGCATTGGATCAAATACTTTTTTCCCTCACTGTATCTATGAAGAGGAGTGAACCAACTATCTATGAAGAGGCGTGAACCAACTATGTAAAAAGCACTCAAGAAATTTGAAAATCACTGTTTTTAAAAGGTTCTAACTTTTGATGATGTCATTGGGTAGAACTTTAATGAATAGAGGTTGAAAAGTGGTGGAGTTGCCCTTTAATGCGGACTATTTATTTAGTTGTAATATTGATGGTCAATATGATAACCATAGTCACTATAGTCATATTGATAAAGGTCAATATGATAACCATAGTCACTATAGTCATATTGATAAAGGTCAATATGATAACCATAGTCACTATAGCATATTGATAAAGGTCAATATGATAACCATAGTCACTATAGTCATATTGATAAAGGTCAATATGATAACCATAGTCACTATAGTCATATTGATAAAGGTCAATATGATAACCATAGTCACTATAGTCATATTGATAAAGGTCAATATGATAACCATAGTCATTATAGTCATATTGATAAAGGTTTCCCCAATATGTAACCATATCGTACCAGTCATAAGTCTATTCATAAAGGTCCAATATGATTATAAACCGTAGTCTTATAGTCATATTGATGGTCAATATGATAACCATAGTCACTATAGTCATATTGATAAAGGTCAATATGATAACCGTAGTCATTATAGTCATATTGATGGTCAATATGATAACCATAGTCATTATAGTCATATTGATGGTCAATATGATAACCATAGTCATTATAGTCATATTGATGGTCAATATGATAAACCATCGTCACTATAGTCATATGGATGGTCAATATGATAACCATAGACACTATAGTCATATTGATGGTCAATATGATAACCATAGACACTATAGTCATATTGATGGTCAATATGATAACCATAGTCACTAGTAATATTGATGGTCAATATGATAACCATAGACACTATAGTCATATTGATGGTCAATATGATAACCATAGTCACTATAGTCATATTGATGGTCAATATGATAACCATAGACACTATAGTCATATTGATGGTCAATATGATAACCATAGTCACTATAGTCATATTGATGGTCAATATGATAACCATAGTCACTATAGTCATACTGTCACATGTCTGTTCTAATGAGTGTATCTCCCCACCAGACACCCTGTTGATAGACTACCAGTTCACCTTCAGTCTGTCTCAGGAGGACGACCGCTACTACACCGCCATCAACTTTGTAGCCACGCCCGAGGAGGTAGGACCACACCCATACTGCCAGGGTAGAAGTCAGGGGTCAGGCCATGCGCGAGGAAGTTGGTTTCATGGTTAAGGTCAGATCATCATGGAAAAAGTCTAATATGAACAGTGAACAGAATTTATCTCCTCTCCTCTCCTCTCCTCTCCTCTCCTCTCCTCTCCTCTCCTCTCCTCTCCTCTCCTCTCCTCTCCTCTCCTCTCCTCTCCTCTCCTCTCCCTCTCCTCCACAGCAGAATCGTGATCTGGTTGTTTTCATTAACGCCTCCAAGAACTTCAACCTCAACATCACCTGGGCCGCCAGTTTCACAGGTAACGCACCTTAACACTCCTCCACAGGTAACACCTTAACACACCTCTACAGTTAACACACCTCCACAGGTAACACACCTCTACAGGTAACACACCTCTACAGGTAACACACCTCTACAGGTAACACACCTCTACAGTTAACACACCTCTACAGGTAACACACCTCTACAGGTAACACACCTCTACAGTTAACACACCTCTACAGTTAACACACCTCTACAGGTAACACACCTCTACAGTTAACACACCTCTACAGTTAACACACCTCTACAGGTAACACACCTCTACAGGTAACACACCTCTACAGTTAACACACCTCTACAGGTAACACACCTCTACAGGTAACACACCTCTACAGGTAACACACCTCCACAGTTAACACACCTTACCACACCTCCACAGGTAACACACCTTACCACACCTCTACAGGTAACACACCTTACCACTCCTTCACAGGTAACACACCTTACCACTCCTCCACAGGTAACACACCTTACCACAACTTCACAGGTAACACACTTTCACGGGTAACAGAACTGATTCTTACTCTGAACGATGCTATATTTAGAGCCACATTCCTGTAAAGCTTAGAGAGGATCTCATGTTAAATACTGTTGAAGTAATATGGCTACAGGTTCATCTGCCTCACCTAAAGCCCATTCTGGTGGGAAGCTGCTATAGACCACCAAGTGCTAACAGTCAGTATCTGGATAACATGTGTGAAATGCTTGATAATGTATGTGATATCAACAGAGAAGTATATATTTCTGGGTGATTTAAATATTGACTGGCTCTCATCAAGCTGCCCCACTCAAGAAAAAACTTCAAACTGTAACCAGTGCCTGCAACCTGGTTCAGGTTATCAGTCAACCTACCAAGGTGGTTACAAACAGCACAGGAATGGAATCATCAACATGTATTGATCACATCTTTACTAATGCTGCATAGATTTGTTTGAAAGCAGGATCCAGATCCATAGGATGTAGTGATCACAGTATATCGTAGCCATATCTAGGAAAACCAAAGTTCCAAAGGCTGGTCCTAATATAGTGTATAAGAGGTCATACAATACGTTTTGTAGTGATTCCTATGTTGTTGATGTAAATAATATTGTTGGTCCGTGGTGTGTAATGAGGAGCAAACAGACACTGCACGTGACACATTTATGAAATTGCTTATTCCAGTTACTAATAAACATGCACCCATTAAGAAAATGACTGTAAAAACTGTTAAATCGCCGTGGATTGATGAGGAATTGAAAAATGGTATGGTTGCGAAGGATGAGGCAAAAGGAATGGCAAATAGGTCTGGCTGCACAACCGATTGGCAAACGTACTGCAAATTGAGAAATCATGTGACTAAACTGAATAAAAAGAAGAAGAAACTACACTATGAAACAAAGATAAATGACATAAAGAATGATAGTAAACAGCTTTGAAGCATCTTAAATGACATTTTGGGCAAAAAGGTGAATTCCGCTCCGTTATTCATTGAATCAGATGGCTCATTCATCATCAAAACCGACTGATATTGCCAACTACTTTAATGATTTTTTCATTGGGAAGATTAGCATACTTAGGCATGATATGCCAGCAACAAATACCGAACCTACACATCCAAGTATAACTGACAAAATTATGAAAGACCGGCATTGTCATTTGGAATTCCGTAAAGTCAGTTTGGAAGAGGTGAAAACATTATTGCTGTCTATCAACAATGACAAGCCACCGGGGTCTGACAACTTGGATGGAAAATTACTGAGGATAATAGTGGACGATATTGCCACTCCTATTTGCCATATCTTCAATTTAAGCCTACTAGAAAGTGTGTGCCCTCAGGCCTGGAGGGAAGCAAAAGTCATTCCGTTACCTAAGAATAGTAAAGCCCCCTTTACTGGCTCAAACAGCCGACCAATCAGCCTGTTACCAACCCTTAGTAAACTATTGGAATAAATGGTGTTTTACCAGATAAAATGCTATTTTAATAAAAAACAAATTATCAACAGACTTTCAGCACGCTTATAGGGAAGGGCATTCAACATGCACGGCACATACAAAAATTACTGATGATTGGCTGAGAGAAATTGATGATAAAAGGATTGTGGGGGCTGTTTTGTTAGACTTCAGAGCGGCTTTTGACATTATCGATCATAGTCTGCTGCTGGAAAAACGTATGACGTGGATGTCGATTAAAGCAGCCCCCAACACCGCTCTGATTCAGAGGGGTTGGGTTAAATGCGGAAGACACATTTAAGTTGAATGCATTCAGTTGTACAACTGACTAGGTATCCCCCTTTCCCTTACACCCCCTGCTATAATGTGGATAAAGAGTTACCTGTCTAACAGAACACAGAGGGTGTTCTTTAATGGAAGCCTCTCCAACATAATCCAGGTAGAATCAGGAATTCCCCAGGGCAGCTGTTTTTCAATCTTTACTAACGACATGCCACTGGCTTCAGCTAAATCTTGTAATGAATAATGTGGAAATTGAGCAAGTTGAGGTGACTAAACTGCTTGGAGTAACCCTGGATTGTAAACTGTCATGGTCAAAACATATTGATACAACAGTAGCTAGGATGGGGAGAAGTGGCAGGTAGGGGCGGCAGGTAGCTTAGTGGGTAAGAGCGTTGTGCCAGTAACCGAAAGGTCGCTGGTTCTAATCCCCGAGCCGACTAGGTGAAAAATCTGTCGATGTGCCCTTGAGCAAGGCACTTAACCCTAATTGCTTCTGTAAGTCGCTCTGGATAAGAGCGTCTGCTAAATGACTAAAATGTAAATGTAAATGTAAAGTCTGTCCATAATAAAGCGCTGCTCTACCTTCTTAACAACACTATCAACAAGGCAGGTCCTACAGGCCCTAGTTTTGTCACACCTGGACTACTGTTCAGTCGTGTGGTCAGGTGCCACAAAGAGGGACTTGGGAAAATTACAGTTGGCTCAGAACAGGGCAGCACGGCTGGCCCTTAAATGTACATGGAGAGCTAACATTAATGACATGCATGTCAATCTCTCCTGGCTCAATGTAGAGGAGAGATTGACATCATCACTACTTGTCTTTGTGAGAGGTGTTGACATGCTGAATGAACTGAGCTGTCTGTTTAAATTACTAGCACACAGCTCGGACACCCATGCATACCCCACAAGACATGCCACCAGAGGTCTCTTCACAGTCCCCAAGTCCAGAACAGACTATGGGAGGCGAACAGTACTACATAGAGCCATGACTACATGGAACTCTATTCCACATCAGGTAACTGATGCAAGCAGTAGAATCAGATTTAAAAAACAGATACAAATACACTTTATTGAACAGCGGGGACTGTGAAGACACACACAGACACAACATGATAACACATGCACTCTACACACATGGATTTTGTGTTGTAGATATGTGATAGTAGAGTAGTGGCCTGAGGGCACACACCTAATATGTTGTGAAATGTAATGTTGTGATATTTTTAATTGTATATAACTGCCTTAATGTTGCTGGACCCCAGGAAGAGTAGCTGCTGCCTTGGCAGGAACTAATGGGGATCCATAATAAACCCCAGGAAGAGTAGCTGCTGCCTTGGCAGGAACTAATGGGGATCCATAATACACCCCAGGAAGAGTAGCTGCTGCCTTGGCAGGAACTAATGGGGATCCATAATAAACCCCAGGAAGAGTAGCTGCTGCCTTGGCAGGAACTAATGGGGATCCATAATAAACCCCAGGAAGAGTAGCTGCTGCCTTGACAGGAACTAATGGGGATCCATAATAAACCCCAGGAAGAGTAGCTGCTGCCTTGGCAGGAACTAATGGGGATCCATATTAAACCCCAGGAAGAGTAGCTGCTGCCTTGGCAGGAACTAATGGGGATCCATATTAAACCCCAGGAAGAGTAGCTGCTGCCTTGGCAGGAACTAATGGGGATCCTTATTAAACGCAATACAAAATATCTTAACATACCTTCAAACATCTTCACAGGTAACACACCTTTATATATCTTCACAGTTAACACACCTTACCACACTTTCACAGGTAACACACCTTGACAGCTGACACACCTCCTTGGACAGTAGTGGTGCATATTGTTCTTGGTGTTATGTGCGTAAAAGTCTTAACACACGTTTTAATAGTTTCTTTGATAAATCCTTTTGATTTATTTCGCTCCGTAAAAAGCACTCTGTCCACATACTGCAACGTTTTCAATCTCATTCCAGACTTCTATTAGTGAGTGAATAAGATGGGTTTCTCTTAACCTTGGTGTGATGTGTTGATGATATGTCCACTGGAAAACCGTCTTCTTTCTCTGTCCTCCTCCTCCCCAAAGCAGGGACTCAGACAGGAGAGGAGCTCCCCATCAGATACAGCAGCAACATTAAGGACTTCAAAGACAGTTTCTCCAACGAGAACTTTGACTTCCGCAACAACCCAAACGTCACCTTCTTCGTCTATGTCAGCAACTTCACCTGGCCCATCAAGATACAAGTAGGTTACATGAGACACACAAACACAGACACATCCTCCATGGCAGCAGGGCTGTATAGTGTTCTCTGTTGTGTGTTCCTGGGGGTAGGTGTTCCTGGGTAGTTGGTGGTGAATGGGCACTCTGTGTCTCTCTGCTTGTTTATCCCGACCTATTGCTCTACTCTCTCTGCTGTCTGCCTGCCTGTCTGTCTGTCTGTCTGTCTGCCTGCCTGCCTGCCTGCCTGTCTGCCTGCCTGCCTGCCTGCCTGTCTGCCTGCCTGCCCGTCCCCGCCCGCCCGCCCGCCCGCGTCTGACTGCTCCTTCATTATTCAACAGCAGTCGACAAAGTTGTTGTGGCTCTGAGGCCTATAATTAATATGAATACTACCCTGGCGTTACAAGCGCCACGCTCTGCCAGTCCTCTCCAACCTGCCATGGTATAATTTGATACAGAATATTTTCTTGATTTATAGACTAATCAACGCTGATCAGGCTCGGTCTTGGCCGATATGCCGAGACAAAGACAATTGGCGCCCTCCTATCCCCGCAAAGTAGAACGCCCCCTCCTATCCCCGCAAAGTAGAATAGCATCCCCTAAATGCGTCCCCTCATACTGTCCTGGTCAAGTCAGCTGTCCCCTTCATACTGTCCTGGCAAGTCAGCTGTCCCCTTCATACTGTCCTGGTCAAGTCGCTGTCCCCTTCAACTGTCCTGGTCAAGTCAGCTGTCCCCTTCATACTGTCCTGGTCAAGTCGGGCTGTCCCCTTCATCTGTCCGGTCAAGTCAGCTGTTCCCCTTCATACTGCCTGTCAAGTCTAGCTGTCCCCTTCATACTGTTCCCCTGGTCAAGTCAGCGTCCCCTTCATACTGTCCTGTCAAGTCAGCTGTCCCTTCTTTACTGTCCTGGTCAAGTCAGCTGTCCCCTTCATACTGTCCTGGTCAGCAGCTGTCCCCTTCATACTGTCCTGGTCAAGTCAGCTGTCCCCTTCATACTGTCCTGGTCAAGTCAGCTGTCCCCTTCATACTGTCCTGGTCAAGTCAGCTGTCCCCTTCATACTGTCCTGGTCAAGTCAGCTGTCCCCTTCATACTGTCCTGGTCAAGTCAGCTGTCCCCTTCATACTGTCCTGGTCAAGTCAGCTGTCCCCTTCATACTGTCCTGGTCAAGTCAGCTGTCCCCTTCATACTGTCCTGGTCAAGTCAGCTGTCCCCTTCATACTGTCCTGGTCAAGTCAGCTGTCCCCTTCATACTGTCCTGGTCAAGTCAGCTGTCCCCTTCATACTGTCCTGGGTCAAGTCAGCTGGTCCCCTTCATACTGTCCTGGTCAAGTCAGCTGTCCCCTTCATACTGTCCTGGTCAAGTCAGCTGTCCCCCTTCATACTGTCCTGGTCAAGTCCAGCTGTCCCCCTTCATACTGTCCTGGTCAAGTCAGCTGTCCCCTTCATACTGTCCTGGTCAAGTCAGCTGTCCCCTTCATACTGTCCTGGTCAAGTCAGCTGTCCCCTTCATACTGTCCTGGTCAAGTCAGCTGTCCCCTTCATACTGTCCTGGTCAAGTCAGCTGTCCCCTTCATACGCCTGGTCAGTCAGCTGTCCCCTTCATACTGTCCTGGTCAAGTCAGCTGTCCCCTTCATACTGTCCTGGTCAAAGTCAGCTGTCCCCTTCATACTGTCCTGGTCAAGTCAGCTGTCCCCCTTCATACTGTCCTGGTCAAGTCAGCTGTCCCCTTCATACTGTCCTGGTCAAGTCAGCTGTCCCCTTCATACTGTCCTGGTCAAGTCAGCTGTCCCCCTTCATACTGTCCTGGTCAAGTCCAGCTGTCCCCTTCATACTGTCCTGGTCAAGTCACTGTCCCCTTCATACTGTCCTGGTCAAGTCAGCTGTCCCCTTCATACTGTCCTGGTCAAGTCAGCTGTCCCTTCATACTGTCCTGGTCAAGTCAGCTGTCCCCTTCATACTGTCCTGGGTCAAGTCAGCTGTCCCCTTCATACTGTCCTGGTCAAGTCCAGCTGTCCCCTTCATACTGTTCCCTGGTCAAGTCAGCTGTCCCCTTCATACTGTCCCTGGTCAAGTCAGCTGTCCCCTTCATACTGTCCTGGTCAAGTCAGCTGTCCCCTTCATACTGTCCTGGTCAAGTCAGCTGTCCCCTTCATACTGTCCTGGTCAAGTCAGCTGTCCCCTTCATACTGTCCTGGTCAAGTCATTATCTTCCATCCTACTTTCGGGAGGTTTTTAATACGTTTTAAAGAGAGGAGAAATATCTGCTCTTGTGTCTGACATACGCTGGTGGCTTTGATTGACAGGTCCTTTTATGGGGGTGTGCGTGTGAGTTCGCTGATTCTCTCTATAGGCGTACTGTATATGTCCACTCAGAAAGTTTCTGGATAAGAATCAAATTCTCCTGTCATGACTTAATCTGTGTGCGTGAGACTGGGAATGTGCGCCTGCAAGCGTGTGTTTGTGTGTGTTTGTGTGTTTGTGTGTGTGTGTGTGTGTGTGTGTGTGTGTGTGTGTAAGCACTCTCCCTCATTCTCTGCTGTGTGTTTCACAGCCTGCTGCCGGTCTGTCTGTCTGCTCTGCCCCCCCCCCCCCCCCCCCCCCCCCCCCCCAAGACAACTTTCTGTTCTCTTCCTCTTCTGGAAGTGGTTTGGCTGCCCCCCCCCCCCCCTCGTTCCCCTTCCTCTACCCTGACTGCTTTCGACTGGGCTGCTCCTCGTCCTGCCCAGTGTAGTCCCAGTGTTGGGCTGAGCTTCCAGCCCGCTGCAACCAGAGGAGAGACCTACAGGCTAGGCTAGCCCCGAGGCCAGAGGCCAGAGGAGAGACCTACAGGCTAGGCTAGCCCCGAGGCCAGAGGAGAGACCTACAGGCTAGGCTAGCCCCGAGGCCAGAGGAGAGACCTACAGGCTAGATAGCCCCGAGGCCAGAGGAGAGACCTACAGGCTAGGCTAGCCCCGAGGCCAGAGGAGAGACCTACAGGCTAGGCTAGCCCCGAGGCCAGAGGAGAGACCTACAGGCTAGAATAGCCCCGAGGCCAGAGGAGAGACCTACAGGCTAGGCTAGCCCCGAGGCCAGAGGAGAGACCTACAGGCTAGAATAGCCCCGAGGCCAGAGAAGAGACCTACAGGCTAGGCTAGCCCCGAGGCCAGAGGAGAGACCTACAGGCTAGGCTAGCCCCGAGGCCAGAGGAGAGACCTACAGGCTAGAATAGCCCCGAGGCCAGAGGAGAGTCCTACAGGCTAGAATAGCCCAGAGGCCAGAGGAGAGACCTACAGGCTAGAATAGCCCCGAGGCCAGAGGAGAGACCTACAGGCTAGAATAGCCCCGAGGCCAGAGGAGAGACCTACAGGCTAGAATAGCCCCGAGGCCAGAGGAGGAGTCCTACAGGCTAGAATAGCCCGAGGCCAGAGGAGAGTCCTACAGGCTAGAATAGCCCAGAGGCCAGAGGAGAGGACCTACAGGGCTAGAATAGCCCCGAGGCCAGAGGAGAGACCTACAGGCTAGAATAGCCCCGACGCCAGAGGAGAGACCTACAGGCTAGAATAGCCCGAGGCCAGAGGAGAGTCCTACAGGCTAGAATAGCCCGAGGCCAGAGGAGAGTCCTACGGTCTAGAATAGCCCCGAGGCCAGAGGAGAGTCCTACAGGCTAGAATAGCCCCGAGGCCAGAGGAGAGTCCTACAGGCTAGAATAGCCCCGAGGCCAGAGGAGAGACCTACAGGCTAGAATAGCCCCGAGGCCAGAGAGACCTACAGGCTAGAATAGCCCCGAGGCCAGAGGAGAGACCTACAGGCTAGAATAGCCCAGAGGCCAGAGGAGGACCTACAGGCTAGAATAGCCCCGAGGCCAGAGGAGAGACCTACAGTCTTAGAATAGCCCCGAGGCCAGAGGAGAGACCTACAGGCTAGGCTAGCCCCGAGGCCAGAGGAGAGACCTACAGGCTAGGCTAGCCCCGAGGCCAGAGGAGAGACCTACAGGCTAGAATAGCCCCGAGGCCAGAGGAGAGACCTACAGGCTAGAATAGTGTGTTTTTTTGCGTGTAGTGGTGGTGGGTAGTGGCGATAGTGGTGGTGGGTAGTGGCGATAGTGGTGGTGGGTAGTGGCGATAGTGGTGGGGTAGTGCGATAGTGGTGGTGGGTAGTGGCGATAGTGGTGGTGGGTAGTGGCGATAGTGGTGTGGTTGGGTAGTGGCGATAGTGGTGGTGGTGATAGTGGTGGTGGTTAGTGGCGATAGTGGTGGTGGGTAGTGGCGATAGTGGGTGGTGGTGGGTAGTGGCGATAGTGGTGGGTGGTGGGTAGTGGCGATAGTGGTGGTGGGTAGTGGCGATAGTGGTGGTGGTGGGTAGTGGCGATAGTGGTGGTGGTGGGTAGTGGCGATAGTGGTGGTGGGTAGTGGCGATAGTGGTGGTGGGTAGTGGCGATAGTGGTGGTGGTGGGTAGTGGCGATAGTGGTGGTGGGTAGTGGCGATAGTGGTGGTGGTGGGTAGTGGCGATAGTGGTGGTGGTGGGTAGTGGCGATAGTGGTGTGTAATGGTGGTGGGTAGTGGCGATAGTGTTGTGGTGGTGTGTAGTGGCGATAGTGGTGGTCGATAGTGGTGGTGGTGGGTAGTGGCGATAGTGGTGGTGGTGGGTAGTGGCGATAGTGTTGTGGTGGTGGGTAGTGGCGATAGTGTTGTGGTGGTGGGTAGTGGCGATAGTGGTGGGTAGTGGCGATAGTGGTGTGTAATGGTGGTGGGTAGTGGCGATAGTGTTGTGGTGGTGGGTAGTGGCGATAGTGGTGGGTAGTGGTGGTGGGTAGTGGCGATAGTGGTGGGTAGTGGTGATAGTGGTGTGTAATGGTGGTGGGTAGTGGCGATAGTGTTGTGGTGGTGTGTAGTGGCAGTGAGCTGGGTGTTTGGTGTGTGTCTGCAGAGCAGAGCAGTACTTGTGTTAAAAAGTCCTTCATAAACAGCACCATTAAAGTTCTATGGGCATAATGGAAAGTTAAGTTGAAACACATGGTGCTTGGAGAGAGAAACGTAGTG